CCCTTTCAATCTCATGCCTGTCCCATCCTTCCTCCTCAGTGCCATCAGAGCTCACTTTCTAGAATAAAAAGCCAACCATGTCACATCCCTACTGGCTCCTCGCTTCCTTATCACTGACTCTTTTATTATTGACCTGATAAAAATCTACAGACTCATCGTGATGGACAGAACAACGTCCCCCTAAAGGTGTCCGTGTCATGCGGGGTCCACCTTAGGTTACACAGCACAGGGAAATTAAGGTGGCAGATAGAATTCAAGTTGCTTATCCATTGACCTTGAGGTGAGGAGATTATCCAGGCTTTTCTGGGTGGGTCCAGTGTAATCACTAGGGTCCTTAGAAACGGAAGAGGGCGGCAGAAGGACGGGAGCTTCAGAGAGATGGCAGTGGGAGGGGTCCGCCCGACGCTGCAGCTGTGATTATAGACGGGGGCCGTGAGCTAAGGAAGGAACGCGGTGGCCTCTAGAAGATAGAAAGGCAAGGAAACAGAACCTCCTAGCGCCCCCAGGAAAGAACACCGGGCTGCCGACAACTGGACTTGGGGCCACTGAGCCCACGACTGACTCCTGACGTACATTAGTGTGAGAGAATACATCTGTGTCGTTTTAGGCCATTAAGTTTGTCGCAATTTGTTACAGCAGCAATAGAAAACTCACACCAACACGAAGAAAATGTGCTCACATCAAACTCTGCGAAAGCTCCTGAATGATCTGATTCCCTTGGCTCTACCCCTGTTTAAGGAGCCCTGGCAGAGAGGCCCCCGGATTTGGGGCCTGTCTTGCTGGCCTGTGCTTCCTCTCCTAGCAGGCAGCTAACCTGTCTGGGCCTCTGTTCCTAGGGCTCCCCAGCTAGAAGGGGCCCCTATGAACACCCCTAGCATCTCCTTACCTTTCAAGGCTTAGCTCCAGGAAGCTTTCCCATGCTCCCAAGTTCACCGACCACTCCCTCCTGGTTCTTTGTTCAGGATTGTTTAGTTGTTTATATCTTTTTCAGGCTCTTTCTTCTGCCCTGCCTACCCTTCCCTCACAAAGAAAAACCCACAACCTAGCGCAGTCTGGCCGCATAGTCCCCGCGCTGAAGCTGCTGAATGGATGAGTGTTTGGGGCCAAATACTCCTCAGTATACGGTGGAGAGAAAGAGGCATCCTGAACCTGTGAGACGCTGGGCCAGCGCAGCGTGGCGGGTCCCTGCCGGCCCGGAGCCAAGAGTTCGGAGACCCGTGTTCCCTCACCGGCTGTCGTCACCGTCAGGTGACCCTAAAAAGACTTTCTTCCCCTCGCCTGGAATTCCTTCCACCTCTCCTTATCAAAGATGCCACCCACACGAAGAAGGAATGTGAAAAAGTCTCGGGAAGGGGGTAGAATAGTAGTTTTAATGCTTTATCGCAAAAAATAAAAAAATAAAAAAATAAAAATAAAATAATTGAATTGTAACTGCATAAACCAG